TGAACACTATAAACAGATAATGCATACTCCCTCCTATTCATTATAAATGTTGTTTTGACTTTTTTGATTCATCCATTTTGTTATGTATCTAGACATAACAAAAAAAAGTCAAAACGACATTTATAATGAATAGGAGGGAGTACTTATTTGGAGTATTATATTTTTTGCGTAATTTATATTTTTAAACTTGTTTTTTATTAATTTTGATTGAAACGATCCGAAAATGAGAAATATTTATGTAGCGAAATTAAAATAATTTAAGTGTGTGCACTTATATTAAATTTACACTTTTATTTTATCTATAGTTATGCGAAGTCAACATTGTAATTAAGGGGCTATTTAGAGTTAAACCCGTGAATTATATTATAACCAAGACCGTGTCGTGGGCCCCACCATCTCGACATGCATCAATCCACCCCACCGCATGAGTCGCTACTAAATTAAAAAAAAATAATAATAATAAACAAATTAATAAAAAAACGAATCAAATCTGTCAAACACAATTAAATAAAAATTTTTCTCTTTAAAACCCAGCAAAAAGGCGTGATACCAAAATATCTCCTCTACTGAAAAAACCACACACACAACACAAAAGGAGAAGAAAAAATATCAAAAAAAAAATAAAAAAATTGGAAACGCCATAAATCTCAAGCTCCCATTTTATGTAAGCAGCCACATTTCGATTTCCGATCTGGATTCCTTTTATCGCGAATTTCTTAACTGTGTTGCTCGATTGATCTATTCGTGTAATGTGGATTCAAATCTAATTTCCCTGAATTTGTTTTTGTTTTTACTGTTCGCAGTGACTGTTTCGATTTGATTCTTTGAATTCGATTCATTGTTTGTGCAATGGCGGACGACGGCCGGAAGTACATCACATCCGAAGAGCTCAGGCGGCACAATGTCCCCGGAGATCTCTGGATCTCGATCCAGGGCAAAATCTACGACGTCACCGACTGGTCCGCCGTGCACCCCGGCGGCGACGCCCCACTCCTCAACCTCGCTGGACAGGACGTCACCGACGCGTTCGTCGCCTTCCACCCGGGCGACGCCTGGAAGCACCTCGACCCTCTCTTCACTGGCTACCGCCTCCGCGACTTCGCCGTCTCAGAGGTCTCCCGTGACTACCGGAGCCTCGCCAGCCACCTTGCGAAATCAGGTATGTTCGAAAAGAAGGGCCACGGCGTGATCTACTCCCTCTGCTCTGTTTTCCTGATGCTCGCCGCCTGCTTCTACGGCGTCATCTTCACCGGAAGTTTCGCCGTCCATTCCCTCTCCGGCTGCCTGCTCGGCCTCGCCTGGATGCAGGTCGCCTACTTGGGTCACGACTCGGGTCACTACCAGATAATGACGACCCGTGGGTTCAACCGGTTCGTCCAGATCCTCGCCGGAAACTGCCTGACCGGGATCAGCATCGCCTGGTGGAAATGGACACACAACGCACACCACATTGCGTGCAACAGCCTCGATTACGACCCGGACCTTCAACACTTGCCCATGTTAGCCGTATCTTCTAAGCTCTTCAACTCGCTCACCTCACGTTTTTACGGCCGCCAATTAACCTTCGATTCCCTATCTCGATTCTTCGTGAGCTACCAACACCTCACGTTTTATCCCGTGATGTGTGTGGCTCGGGTAAACCTCTATCTCCAGACTTTTCTTCTGCTCTTCTCGAAGAAGAGGAAAGTGCCCGATCGGGCGGTTAACCTTCTAGGAATTCTCGTTTTCTGGACTTGGTTCCCGATTTTGGTCTCGTTTTTGCCCGATTGGACCGAAAGGTTCATTTTCGTGATGGCGAGTTTCTGCGTGACCTCGATCCAGCACGTGCAGTTTTGTCTGAACCATTTCGCGGCGAATGTGTACGTGGGCCCGCCGAGAGGGAACGACTGGTTCGAGAAGCAGACGGGCGGGACGATTGACATATCCTGCTCGTCTTACATGGACTGGTTTTTTGGGGGTTTGCAGTTTCAGCTCGAGCATCATTTGTTTCCGAGATTGCCCAGGTGCCAGTTGAGGAGGGTTTCGCCTTTAGTGCAGGAGTTGTGTAAGAAGCATGGTTTGCCTTATAGGAGCTTGTCATTCTTTGAGGCCAATGTGTGGACATTGAGGACGTTGAGGAATGCGGCTCGGGAGGCTCGGGATATGGCTTCGCCGGTGCCGAAGAATTTGTTGTGGGAAGCTATCAACACTCACGGGTGATGTTTTTTATTTTATTTTTTCTTTTTTTTTTTCAGATGATTTTTTATGTTTTATTGTGATTTTCTTTTTTTCCCCACAAGGTTACATTTTTGGTGGTGACACTTGCGGTTTTGATGATGATGATTTTATTTGAGGAATAATTGTGGTTTTGATGAACTTAAAAACGTAGTGTTGTGAATCCTGTGATCATGTAAATGAATGATGATGGGTACAACGTAAAACAAATCAAAATAATTGTGATAAAGTTCACATGCCATAAAATATACATAAAACTTCTCAGAGAGGCATTTTTTGAATGTATAATAATCTGAAAATGCTGTGATAAGATCACTTCTTAAAGAAAAGATCCATTTATGCTAACACACTGTACTACCTACACAAATGACTCAAAAACAGAGGAGAGGACCAGTATATAATTACTCAGTTGAGATGACATATACAGACATCAGAATATACAAACTATATACAGCACAGCCAACAGTTGCTATAAAACACCGTATATGAATTCCACAAATTTCAAAACTCAAGAAGGCAAATCTTACCGGCAACACTAACCAAAGCTTCAAATGCCACCAAGAAATCCTGCACACTTCATTGTCCCCTTCAGAGCTCATAAATCACGTCAGAAAATAGGTCAAATAGCATTTAAGAGCAGATGATAAAATCACCGAAGAGGGGAAAACTCGAAATAAGTAGGCTTTGGAGTAGAGGGCACCCTATCGACTGGATCAATTGGTCGACAGCCTGCAAATGATGGTACTTATGGGGTCCGTAGAGGGAAATATGTGAACCTTGTGCTCATATATTTTTCCATTCCTGTCGAGCTTTTACTCTGAGGTACCGTCAAATCTGCTACGGCTCTCCCATGGGATATGCAGGATTCCATGCACAGTCCAACGGACCATTATCGTGTTCTCTACGGGTTGCCACACGCTCACAATGTCAACCCAAAGACCCCGGAAGAATATCTTCCCATGAAATCTCAATTCGCAGATGATTGATTTATAGTTCTCTATTCCAAAAAAGGTGTTGCGTGGATCTTTAAAAACTATATCGTCCCTATTGAAGAGAGAACAAAATATTAAAGAGTTGAAACATTTTCATGTCAATTGTAAATACTTTCTTTATAGCTGACAAGATTAGACAATGAACTAAATATTACCATGAAAATAATATTCGAATTGTAGTGAAAAGGTGTTTTCACGAACCTTCAGCAATAGTATGCCAAACTTGTACATTAACCATTCTATCTCAACGTACTCGATGGCTATTAACAACTGCAGGAAAATATCTCATTTCTATGTTCATATAAGATATGAAGGTTGTGATGGATTAAGAAGGTCTTTACAAGATTCTGCTGTCAAATGCTGATCAGTACAACAACTCAACCTAAGTTTCCATGGTTTAAACAAAGAGTGCAACTAAACATAATTTATATGAACATGGTCTCCTTTTCATTATACCCATCAGTGATTCATGATTGTCGCCCAAACTACAGATCAAGATTCATAATTCATGATCTGTATAAGCACTCAAATTTCAAACGAACCGTATTCCAATCTTAGTACATTTCATCAACAATTCCTGCAAGTAAAGTTGCACTCCATATTTATGGAGTGCCCATAAATAATCAACTTAAATCACCTTAAGAAAAGGGTGATTGCCAGCTGAAAACATAGTAACTATTATTATATTTTAAATTCTAACCTATTTTGAATCGTTTGTAAGGTAATGAATATCGATGTCCAGCAGAAACTGCTCCAAATGTTTTCCAAGATTCATATGACATGATACAAATTTGTGTTTTCAAATAAATTCTAAACTAAATCAATTTTAGCTTCCCTAATTCCCTTGAAAACTACAATGCATCTTCTTAGTTCTTACCTCATTAGTTTCCTCTATGAAACGGATATGGACAATCAGATAGACTCAAACACACACAGAATTTGACATTTAAGCATACTGAACAGAAAATTCTACCTGTAGATATCAAAGCTGAGCTCTCTGTAGAAAAGCTCCGGAAACTCCTCTCGGAGGGCCGAATCGCGTACACAGTCTTCGCGTAATAATCTTGCTTCTTCCCTTCCTCGTCCTTCCTCTTAACGGTACAAAACGACGCCGTCTCGATCTCGCTCTGCTTCACTTGCTCGTGCAGCCACCATCTCACAGTATCCTGTAGTTATCAGGATCGACCCTCAATTTGAACACCTCCCTCTCCACATCCCTAACGCCCGAGCAAACCCTAGACCAATAACTTGTTCTTCAGGTCCGGAGACAGATTCTTGCCGAACCTTCGGCGCCGGCGAGAGATGGCATTACCGGTGACGGAACTAAAAGCGCCACTGAATGGATATTTGTTGGGAAAAAGGAAGGATTTAATGAGATATTGTGCTAAACCCTTTGATCTCTTCGAACGGGCATGGAGTTGAATTTTCTGCGATGCGAATATTGCAAGAAAAAAGTGGGAAATTCATTGTCGATGGATGATTGAGGAGGATTGGATAAGGATAATTATATATGGAAATTATGAGAGATTATATAAAATTAGAAAATATAATTTTGGTGAAAAGATGGTGTTTTTTTTAATAATTTGGACGGGCCCAGACCCGGCCCCGCTGGGCTATGGATCCACACGACCTAAGTTTGTGCCGGTTTAGAGCAACTCCAATGGTCCATGGATTGCTCATTGTGGCATAACTAATCTTATGTGGCATTCAAAATGTCTAGAAGTCTTTCTATATCTAGAAGTACCTCTAGACATCCTCTATTATATGTTTTATTATTTATTAAATATATATACCATCACCAACCAATTATAATGTAACACATGTCAAATTATACTAAAATTGACATTCACCAATAGAGACAAAATTTTGTAGCTCCCTTTTTCCATGATATACATCTCCAAATGGACTATATACCATTAGAGATGCTCTTAGGGTGCATGATTCCATGGTCGTCCACCCTCCGAGCCAGGCTGGCATGGCCATGTCTAACCCATGTACTACATATGTACATGAAAAAATAATTTAAACAAAAAAATAAATAATAGCACTTAGTTATTTGTAAGCATATATATACAAAATAAAGAGAAACGACACAATTTCTTATCGAAACATTTCATCGAAATTTATAATCGTTAGATTGAGATATAACTATCTCGACGGTTACAAACTAGACAAAATCTATCATTATATTAAAAGAATAACTTTTTTATGATTTCCCGCCAAAATCATTATTTTCCCTCCAAAATCATTAAATACCCGCCAAAATCATTATTTTCCCTCTAAAATCATTAAATACTTGCTAAAATCATTATTTTC